ATGAAAACGGCTCTCACAGCGCCTCAAGAGGAAATTGGTGGCAGGGTAAGATTGTTAATGCAAACATCATCTTATACTAATTTATGAGGGGATATAAATTCTTATTCTGATTTTTGTCTGCATGATCTCTATATTACTAAGGCCTTCTCTTTACTCTTGCAAATTCTGCTTGCAGGTAACTCTTAAATGATAACTTTTTCATCTGTCTTGCTGTAACATTTTTGGTTGAGTTGTTAACTTTCTAATTTCTTTGCTAATTTTACAGGATTATAAGACTAATATATTTAACCTTTGCAACGAGGAACACGAGAAGATTACAGAGTAGATCCTAACCTTGGGACAGTGAACATTGTAACATTTTACATCCCTTTTTACCATTTTGTTCATCTGGTTTCTATTTGGCAAGACCTCTCTCTGAAGATGGATCATAGACCACAGAGTATCAACATTTCTGTCCAGATCTCTTCAGTACTACATGCCAAATGTACTCTTGGTGCATGTTTGTTACCCTAGTTTTGTCTTTCCTGACGAGTTTGATGTGCTAGTTTGTTACATGAATTTAGGATTTTTCACGACAGCCAAAAACAGGTGCAGAAAACATTTCTTGACATTCACATATGTTCGTCAAATTGAGTGTCATGAAATATTCGAAGCAATCAACATTCGTGTAGAAACTAAAATTGATTCACAGTGATTCCCTGCCGGGGTGAGAAAGGCAAGCATAATATCCAATTTCAAATACGAAAAGCAGAACACAGTGTTCACTGTTTATTAGAATACTGGATCAAACATTAAAGTGACATATAAGACCACAGCACGGTACGTGGATAGTAATCTTTGGTCCTTTGGCCTTCAGGGAAGTGTGTAAGCTGCAAAAAAAAAAAACCAATTGTGAACAATTTGAAAGGAAAAAAATTTTGTCAAACAATGAAACAAAGAAAATAAAGACATGTTTAGTAAGCGCAACTAGACAGTAAAATGGACTAAACGTGCCATAAATGACTCACGCCCACACTTATAACCCACAGGGCGATCAGCAAGGTTGCATCGTTTGGGAATTGTTATGGCAATATTTGGATCGACGCCTGAAATTTTAGCAGTATCAGAGAGCATAACTGCACAAAGGCATTTGGGGTTCTGTCCCAATGTCTTCACCTGAGCACAGCATTTGCTGGAAACAGGAGCATTCGCATCCTGTGCTGCAGATGCGCATGGAATAAGTTTCAAAGCTTCCATGTTGGGGTTTGCTTTCCCGCATTCACCAGCTCCGAATGCTTCATTGAAGCTAGCAATTGCTAGAACAGCGAGGACTCCACCAATGTAAAACAACTTCTTCATCTCCATTTTCAATGTTGATTTCTCTACTTAAGATGCACACACTCCATTGGGTTTTATACTGATCGTGGAGCTTAATAGGAGTTGAAGCGGACTCGACTTGTAGTGGGGAAAGCACAAATGGAGGCTCCAATTTTTGTATTGCTGCACTAAGAAATCAAGAGTTCAATTGCAGGGTTATGTGGCAAGCTGAGGATCAAATTCAACTGCCCGTGCAAACTTTGTTCTCTATCTTTTTATGCTATAAGAATTTAGAATCATCCTCTCACCAACCCCAACAACAATTTCTTATTATTAGTAGTGCGTGCAAACCCAACTTAAAAGGAAATACGACAATAAAAGAACATTCTGAGTTCTGATACATTTAACTTAAGGTAGACTTTGGTGTTATATCTCCTCCATTACAATCACAGGCATCTATCATTTACTTTATCATGATTGGGTCTATTCTGGTAAGAGACAAAATCTCGCATCAAATAAAAATGAAAATATGAATAAATTTATAAAGGGTTTGGGCTACTCCTTATAACAATGTTGACATTTTAAGATAGAGTCCCAAATTTTAATTTATTCCACATCGAAATCTCCCCGGAAATGTAGACCGAGACATGTCGGGCCAACAGAAGTTGGTTTTATAGTGGTCTGGCACTCGTAAATTTTCTAGCCATGTCTAGAAATAATGGGTTTGGCACAACACGCCAGGCAGTGCAAGTGCTTCCAACTTTGCAATTCTTTGCTGCGGTTATTTTTATGTAGAAATTACATTGTCCCCTACTTATCAAATTTCACTTTCAAAAATCAAATTATAACTAATTTTTATCAAAAATCAATTTATAATAATTTTTTAATTTAAAAACATATAATTAAATCTCAAAATCTAATAAATCCGCAATACCCACGGCAACCACCATATCCACCGTAATAAATCATAATAATCCACCATACCCACCCACCACAGTTGCACGGCACCACCATACCAACTCACTGCAGCAGCGTAGTGCCACCATACCCACCGCCCTAGTCGCGCCTTGCCTAGCAGAAGCGACGATGAGCGCTGCGTACAGATCATCGCTACGAAGCAACGACGTTGTGCAGCCCCCCGCACTAATTGGTGTCAATATAAGAAGTGGTGGCTCTAGCGCAGATTTGTCTGGAGGTGAGAGAAAGACTTGCGGTGGCTCTTATGGAGGTGCGAATATTGGGAAAAGAGGTGGCTCCGACGTAGATTCATCTGTTTCACGCAGCGGAGCTCACCGATGTGCACGGTTTTGGGCTGTTTTCGGGTGGTTTGGGGTTGATAGTGGTTTAGATATGAGATGGGAGCTCTGTTTTCATGTGGTATGGGGGTGATTCAGCGAGCAAGCGGCGACGATGGTGGTTTTGCACGAGTTCGGATGACGGTGCAGTGGTGGTGCAGTTTGCGATAATCTGGGTGTGGTGGTGGTTTTGCCATTGCTATGGTGGTGCGGTGCGGTAAGTTGAAGTAGTGGTGCTCGAGAGGTGATCGTGGTGGTTGTGGGGTTGGGAAGAGTGTTTGTCACCAATTGTTTGATTGATGGTGATCAAATATTTGATATCCTGACCAATAAATTGGATTTTTTTTTTTACCAATAAATAATATGTGACCGATAACTTGTGACCAATAAATAATATGATTAAAAATTTGTCATGACTTATAAAATTTGTTATTTGTGACTGATAAATAAGTTGTCACTTATAAATTTTTTAATTTGTGACATATACAATTTTTGATTTATGATCTTAAAATAATTTGTAANGACATATACAATTTTTGATTTATGATCTTAAAATAATTTGTAACTTATAAAAATTTTTATTCGTAATCAATAAATAATTTGTGATCCAGTAGTATAGAATTGTGATCTTAATATATTTAGTTAATAAAATGTATTTTTAATTAATTTTTTCATAAATAAAATTTACTTAGTATCTTATTTTTGAAATTTTAAACCATATTTCTTAGTGGCTGTATGTTTCTGATTTGTTGTTCAACAAAATTGATTTCTTGACTGTTATTGTGCAACTAATGTGAGGAAAAAGTCAAAAAAGGGGGGCTGCCAACGGTAAAAAAAAGGACATAAAATCTTGCTTACAATTTCTCTTAGGGTTCGTTTGATTGCGAATGTAGAAAATTTGTGGAAATGAAAATGAATTCCAAAGAATTGAATTGCCTAAAAATTGTTATATTGGCAATTGTAATTAATTGTTTGATTGGTATAATTGTCCACCTGAAAAATATTGAAAGTTTGGTCTCTGTTTGGTTTCATTTTTTTATGAAAATTATCCATTAAAGTGATAATTTTTTCTACCATTGGGTTTAGAATTTGCCAAAAAAAAATTACAATACCGAATACCATTCGTTTGGCTTCATTTTGCATGAAAATTGTAAATAAAAGTGATCAATATTTTTATCATTGTGTCTAGAATTTTTTTTAATTGCAAAAAAAAAATTAAAATTTTTTTTAAAAAAATAAAGCAATTCCATTTTGCCAAGAAAATGGATTCTCACCACTTTGGCAAGAAAATCAATTCCTTAAAAACATGGAAAATAGGTTGATGTAACACGAGTAAGGAAAGACAATTCTATGGCAAATTTTGTCAATCAAATAAGTCAAAAAGTGATAAATGGAATACATTTTCCTTTGAAAATTAGGTTTATCAAACACAACCTAAAATTTGAAATTTTTCCTATTTTTATTTGAGAAAATTACACCCTCATAGGTTTTTAAGTTTCCATTTTCAAAAATACAGAATCAATTTTAATAATACATAAATCAGATTTTAATTAATAATTTTTAAATTAATTTTTATTTAAATCAATCCTACACAATTTCAAACCCTAATTATTTCATTTTCTC